TTAGGTGGGCAGATGAGATTAAGAAGTTTGCGGGTATAAATTGGCAGCAGCAAGCACAGCACCGGGTTAACTGGCGGAACATGGGAGAGGCCTTTGTCCTGCAGTGGACGTAGTCAGGCTGATGATGATGATGATGATGACCTGGCGACCATAAAAAGGCCAATTTGTCGTCACCGGCTCTTAAACAGCTCACACTACTTCTCTTGTATGAGAAATATCAAGACTCCACACATATATACACTGACGGATCGGTTCAGCCGGACAGCTCTACAGGAGCAGTAGTGATACCAAGGTTGGCCACGACAATTAAATTCAAGACATCTCACGCAACAACATCAACGGCAGCAGAATTGGCAGCACTTCGTGCCGCGTTGCAATTTGTAGTTGATCAACCTACAGGCAAGTGGACTATTTTCTGCGACTCGAAGGCTGGCACTACAGTCTCTACTATCAGCCTTACGCCGTGGACCACACGAGCAGCTGGTACTAGAGATAGCAGAGGTTATACACCACCTGACTGAGAAAGGGCACCAAATTACATTTCAGTGGTTGCCCAGTCACTGCGGAATCATCGGCAATGAACGGGCCGATCAAGCTGCCCGCTCAGCCCACACAGAAGATCATAAACTGCGACTACCACTTTCTAGGACAGATGCTGCACGAAAGCTCCGCAGGCTTGCTCGCCAGCAAACCACATCACAATGGAATCGGCCACACTTCAAGCATGCCCGACTGTACTCGCTTGACCCTACGCTAAGTCCTCAAGTCCCGTCGAGGCTTTGCCGAGCAGACCAGACCCTGTTATGTAGGCTGTGGTTGGGACGTTGCGTTTACCAACGCCTACGCTTTCCACATTGGGATGGCCGACACCGCAGCCTGTGGCCACTGTGGCAAAGAGGAAACAATCAAACATATTCTTTGTGACTGCCTAGCGTATAGTAAACAACGACTATGCCTTCGCAAGGAACTCAACAAATCAGATGATGAACCTCTGTCGGAGCAGGGAATTCTGCAGTGTCATCAGGATGCCACTTCACAGAAGAGGGCCCTGAAAGCGCTACTGCACTTTTTGCGATCGACCAGCCTTACTGAACGGTTGTAGCTATAGGACGCCCTTCCTGTGTGTGTTTTTGTTTTTTTTTTATGAGTGCGCGTGCGTTTTTTTTTCTCTATTTCTACCCCCTCTTTCTTGCCCCCACTTTCCCGCCCCCAGCGCTGGGTAGCAAACCAGATGCCAATATCTGGTTAACCTCCCGGCCTTTCCTTTTTTACTCTCTCTCTCTCTTGACTAACATGCTCATGCATGCTAAGGCAATCGTCAACGTCAAGGCCAGGCTGGGCTAAAAATGTCCCGAGATTCCGGAGGCATACTTTGGAGCTGGCGAAACAGATGGAGATGGAGGCAGGTTTTTGGGGAAGACATGTTCGGAAGATGGATGATGCGCTGGCTGCATAGCTCTGTGGTGACGACGGGCAACGTTTTACTGAGTACTTTGCATAAATTACAATTCGCTCGCACCGTAGACTATTTTCAAAATATACTATTTAAAATACACATTTGCAGGAGCGGTCGGACAGCTGACTGGTTCAGCTGGTAGAGTGAACAGCGAGCGATCTTCGTTTTCGTTGCTGGGTGCATATGTGCATGGTTCAAAAGTCTGGCAATATGCATCAAACACTACAAACGATCCAACAGGCACTGGCGTTCATTTCGGTCATGCAACAAAAGATAAATAAATAAAAGTTTTTTTCCGTTGAAATATGTGGAAAAGAGAGCTTCCTGAAGTGTCCATGCACATCCGTCATGAGGGTTTTCAGTTTGTATATTTTTTTCAATAAAATCAGTTGATGTCTAGTGTATCCATTCTGTTTTTATCCTGTCCTGCATCGGCATCATTAAATTTTGTGCTATCGAAATGAATGCCAGCGATCACAACCAACTAGGCCACATTACCACCTTGAGTGCCTCAACAGGCGCTTGTTCAAGCATCTTCCCATTTGACTCGCATAGACTCTGCCATAGCTCAGTGGGACCTCTAAGACTATCTCCATTGTGCATCCTACAAACTTGGCACTTGCAGTTTGTACGCAGCTTCCATCACTTTTCCAACTGTGGTTATGTGGGACAACTTGCATGGTGCTGGAAAAAAAAGTATTCACACGAAATTTCTTTTGCCACTTTCACAATACCGCGTGAAATATTTAGACTTAGGGTGAAACTGTGGCTGGGTCTATGTGGGCCAAACGGGAAAATGCTTGAATAAACGCTTGTTGGAGCATTTGTGTGCTGCAAGTTCAGATAGTGGACAACGCTTCACAGTATACTGTAGGCCATGTGCTTATTGCAAGCCACTCTTTGAGCAAACAAAAGTCTTGGGGCATGCCAGAGAAAAAAGGCCTCGTAAAATATTATAAGTGTCTTCGATCTTGAGGTATGGCCTAGATAAATGGGTTAATGGACCCTCTGTTTATCCAAACAACAAAAAAAGAGCTTTAATTTTTAGGTTAGGGGAAGAATGGGTATTCAATACATTGTGAGGTACTGCGAGATCACTAACTCCGAGAGAAGACTTCGTGTGTAATATTTTCTTATCTGCAGACATTTTTTTGGCCAACTGGCTAGTAACAATGTTTTTTTTAATGCATATTTGAAGGATTCTGCTTTGTGTCCCTACTGTGAGCTTGTTGGCATAGAGTAAAAAAAAAAAAAAGGTTGTGTGGGGGAAAGGGAAAGCTGCTGTTTTGGGGCTGAACTACTCATAGCGAGTACGGACTTTCTTAGGACGCCCCGTGACTTTCTGGACATGATCGGGCACAGCCAGGCTATGCATTGCAGAGTAAAGGTTGCGTGCAATGTCTTCCGTCGGTGGGCGTGACTCATGTGCAGGGCAACCAGGTTGTGCATAAAAGACATGATGGTTTCTTTCTCGGTCTTTCCTTTTTCTTTTCTTCCTCTATCTTTTTCTTTCATTGCTCTTCTGTCTCTGCTATATTTTTGCTCTTTTTGGCTTTTTTTCTCCTTTTCGTGCTAAGCCTTGCTCTCTTCCCTCCTTCTCACCTATACTTTTTTTTCCAACCCCCTTGCGACATTGTACTGTTACTAGGCTATGCTATGCTCTGCCAGCATGCTTAGATAGCTGAAGGGTAGGATGTTCACCTTTGGTTTGAGGGTTTGTAGGTTTGGATCCCATCGTGGGAACATCTTTTTTTTAGCCCAGCAAGATTCACTGTGTTCTTTTTATATACCTTTCTACCTCTGTCCTTCTTTCGTTCTATGCTCCTTATCTCGCCCAGCAGGGTGATTACTAGTTTCGGTAAGATTTGCCCAAATTCTGGGGCATGCTCGTGATCACGATAGCTTTTTTGAAGCAGGGACATTCTTTTTGCTAGCTCTAACAGCTTTGCTTTTAAGAACTTGGACAGCTTCATTCTCAAGAGTAGATAAGGATAGCATAATGGGCATCGTTTGCATCACCTCTTCATTTGCTAGCCTGGCTTTGCTTCTTTGTGGGCACCTGAACTCTGTTGAGAGGGAAGGGACATCGGTGTGTATAACAATAGCCCTTTTATGATATAATAAATGTCCCATATTTGTAATTCATTAAGTGCCATTATTCATTGTTCTACAAAAAAACTAAGCACATAATTAAATATGCTAGGTAATATGCATATTTATGCAGCTCCATTCCGTGTTGATGTTGGTAATAATGATTATTTTGTGCCTAAGCACTGTATGACAGGTTGGCCACCCACGCGTTGCACGATTGATCTGGTGCGATTACTGCTGTGATTCTATACTTCTGCCACCCAATGTCATATGTCAACACAGCTCCTGTCACTGTATAACACCTGTGTAGCATTTTTCATAATAGAGTTACAAGCACTGGAATGGCTCTGTGGCAAAAAACCTGCCTATTACTCTGAAGGTTATAATTGAGTATAAGAATAGTGCAACATACAAAGACACTCTCGTACATCGCCTAAGACTTGGAACTGCTAACACAAAGCACTTCTACTTCTTACTTCTCATTCAGTGTGCAATACGTCAGTATGTTCATGTGGTCACGACGACGTGGATATCTATCACCTGTTGCTCGACTGTCCGAAACTCGACACACACCGACGGCGCCTCGAACAGGAAATCCAAACGCTAGATCCTAAGGAAACGTTTAGTTTGGATAAAATACTTGGTTCAAGACCATCTAAAATAAATCTCAGAGCAATGAAGGTGCTGCAACGTTTTCTCGAAGAAACAAAGATTTGTGACCACTACTGAGCAAACTATATTTAAAAGTGATCGTGGCGGCTATGTGTTCTGTCTACATGAGAACTTTTGTACCCACCTATGTAGGACTGTATCTGCATATATGCTATTTTGTTTTTTTCTACTCTTTATTTCTAACAATCAAGTAGAAAGTAGCCATCACCGAGTAACAGTGACAACAACTTCTTTGTTCATTTTCTATTTCATTAATAAAAAAAAACTGACGAAGATAACACACTTGTTCCAATATTCAGTCATCTCCTACCAACTTGCCCAAGGTTCCATGCTTCACACTCTTCGAAAGCCTGGGTTCAGTTCAGGCTCAAACTCGTGATCATCATTTCTTGCATCTATTGCTGTCTGACTTTTTGCTCACAATCAAAGATGCAGACACCATAATTTCTGTAAAACCAGCTCGTTTATGCTACCATGTTACAACATGAACCGAAGTTGTGTTTGTTAGGCCGCATATTTATGAAATTGTGTTACCCGATAATGAAACAAGGTTAGTCATTGTGTTTTAGTGACCTTTAGGAAGTGTTTTTAGCTGAATGTTAAAGGCAACAGTAGGGTAAAATTTTATCAGTATGCAGGGCAAAGGATGGGTAATGCAATGCTTTTTTCCACATTACACATGCTCTGCACTGAATCATGCTTGCCACGCTGTGTGTGTCTTTTCCCGTGGTCAGTTATTGTAGATCTTGGCAGCACGATTAAGCCATGCTTCCTTTTCCAGGAGTCTAATTCATTCCTGGCAAATCTTTTCATGGGAGAGGCAAACTTGGCACAGATATTTCCCTTCCCAGAAGGTGAGAGAAATCCTCATTAATTTTTCACACCGCCTGAGGCGTGTTACGGTCAATGACCTTAGTGAAATATGCTAAGCTCTCACAAAGTATTATTCGTGTCATGCCTGTTGGTTTAAGCTTGAGTTTTGTCCACCTTGCAATGCAGAAGCTTTGTACATATTGCCACATTCCTTCCTTTAGTTTGGTTATCGCCCCATTACACTGTTAATAATTCTCAGCCAAACCACGTCTTCCGTGTTCGAGAAGCTTCAGTACTGTAGCCCCCCCCACGGTGGTCTAGTGGCTAAGGTACTCGGCTGCTGACCTGCAGGTCGCGGGATCAAATCCCGACTGTGGCGGCTGCATTTCCGACGGAGGCGGGAATGGAGTAGGCCCGTGTACTAAGATTTGGGTGCAGGTTAAAGAACCCGAGGTGGTCGAAATTTCCAGAGCCCTCCACTACGGCGTCTCTCATAATCATATGGTGGTTTTATTTATGGACGTTTTGTGGGACGTTAAACCCTACAAATCAATCAATCAATTAAAGCTTCAGTACTGTAGTAGATAATTGTGTTAAAATTATGCCCGCTTCACAAATACTACAGATTATTCTGAATAGCGCTAGAAAATTCAATGGCACGTATATGAATGCCGCTGCGCTTTGCCGCTTGTAAGTTGATCGCCGCCTGACGCTCTGTTCGCCGCTATTAGTGCCCGTGTGTTGCTGCAATTTGACCTTCACTTTATTGGCCATAAGTTAGGCCGAATAAACAGTTTCATCTGAACATCGAGTTGGCTTCCTTTAGACCCCTTGACAATATTTGCCATGGAAAGCAGGCTGAATAAACAGTTTCATCTGAACATCGAGTTGGCTTCCTTTAGACCCCGTGATAATATTTGCCATGGAAAGCAGATATGCTAAGCAGTTTTTAGTGTAACATAGCCCTGTATAATATACCGTATTTACTCGAAAATAGAGCGAGCACGAATATAGGTCGACCCCTACTTATAGTGTTCTACGAGAGAAAAAAAAAAATATTGGAATATAGATCGACCGATGCTTTTATTTTTTTTAAGCTTAGAAACAGACAAATTGAAACGTAGCACAGTTTTATATGCACAACTTAGCGCCCTAATCGCTGCCGGGGCCATCATCTTCTCAGATGTGCAAGATGATGTCGTCATCGGATTCTTTGCAAGCATCCGTGACTTCCCAAACGACGTCTTTGCTGCCACCCCTGCTGACTGCAGGGTCGCGAAAAGCACGAAGCCGACATTCGCACGCAAACAGACTGTTCCGCTGCTTTTGGTGACCCTGCAGAACTCGCACTGCATGGCAAAAATGTGCTCGAGTCCTCGGTAAATAGTATCACTTGGTACTTGAAGTCACCTGTGTAGCTCTGCCGATGTGACATCGTCGCAACCGCGCACAACCAAATGGAGATGGTGGTTAGAAGAAGGCGCCTGATTGCTGCAGCATGGTGTGGAAGCACGACACAACGCCTAAAGCAAATGCGAACCGTCACCCCGTCACGCCGATCGTACAATGGACTTTCCCAGAAATTGACGCACGCCCCCTACGGCGGCCGCAAAGCATTATGGGAAGCCTGGAACACCGGCGGAGTGTCGTCTGCTCGCGGAAGCGCTGCTTCACCTCGTTTCGCGCAGTACCTGGGCAAGCGAATGTATCCTTGCGGGAATATTGCGTGTAATAACCGTGCTTTAATCTGCACTCAAAGAAGAGGCACAACCCAGAGCAACATGGAGCCAGGAAACACTAGTATCCTTGATTTAATAATTAATGACCTGGGAAACATGCTCACGAACCCACGAAAAGGCTCATTGAATTGAAAACTTTTCTCGGCTTTACGGCGAATTCTTTGTGCTTCTTTAATTATATTTCCACGTAGCGGAAGCTTTCCTCATTTGTTTTATTGTCAGTATGTTGATAGAGCTTCATTATTAGTACTTTATATTGGGGACTATCACTCGTGACATGCTTTCGCACGATACGCAGTGCAAGACCGTGCACTTCGCGAATGATAATCATTGTCGAAATTCCACTCTTATAAATGAGTTCGAGTCCCACTATTGCTGTGTATATATTGAAGGCTCTGCCTTCGCTCAGAAGGGTCAGTTAGCCAAAATTCGCAGTGCACGAGCCAGCAACCCAGGGAACGAGAACCGTCTTTAATGCATGACTCAAAATAATCACAAACAGCCTTCCGAACCGGCTCAACACGACACTGACGCACACAGGAATGCCAAAAACCCGGAACAAAGAATCCCCGCAGACTGGTGGTTAATGGGACATACGCAGTGAAACAACAGCAGGAAAGCCAGCACCTAGCATAACAGCAAAAAATAACACTCACATGCAACTCATCATAGAATACCGGCCATCGGCTCGCCTTATAGCCAACACCCCCAAAACCGGCAAGGCCTCGCCTCTTACTATCCATTCTCTACACACTAGTTACAAAAATAATGGCTAATAAAATTATAGCAACATTAGAGTTCAGTCAACCAAAGGTCCAAGCAGGATTTCGTTCAGGCTACTCCACAATAGACCATAATCATGCTATCAGTTGGATGATAGAGAAATGCGTGGAATACAACCAGTCCCTATACATAGCCTTCAATGATTACGAGAAGGCGTTTGACTAAGTCGAAGCATCAGGGCTGTCAACGAAACATATATTGTGGCAAAGCCTTTCGCCATCTCATTGTGTTTTCCTCAGAAAAGGTTTGCTGGTTCCTTTCGCGACCGTGCAACTCACTCACGGCAGCACCACTATTTTTGTAGTGAACTCATCCCCGTACAGCGTTACGTTGGTGCGAGGGGAATGTCTCGGCAGCGTGGAACCCATCGAAGACGAACAAGTCATGGATCAACCCGATGACATGCACTGCTCAAGTTCCAGTACACTTAGTGCTGTTTCAACATCTGCTTCATCATTCGATGATGTATTCGGTCCCTCCATTCCCGACAACCTTACGCCAGGCCAGCGTTCCCAGCTTCTGGGCCTGTTGGAAGAATTCCGGTCTTCTTTTGATGTCGCCCAACCTTCTCTCGGCCGCACATCTACAGTTACGCATCGCATCGACACAGGCACACAGCCACCACTGCGGCAACATCTATATCGCGTATCTCCCACAGAAGGCCATGTAATCAACGAGCATATCGACGACATGCTTCGCCGTGATGTTATTCGACAGGAGACGCCCAGCCCTTGGGCGTCTCCTGTCGTTCTCGTCACGAAGAAGGATGGTTCTGTGTGGTTCTGTGTGGACTACAGAACCGCACAGAACCGTGAACAAGATCACTCATAAGGACGTGTACCCACTACCGCGGGTAGATGCAATTGACAGCCTGCAAGGAGCAGAATTCTTTTCATCCCTCGATTTGCGCTCAGGGTACTGGCAAGTACCTATGGCTGAGGACGCTCGACCGAAGACCGCTTTTGTCACCCACGACGGCTTGTACGAATTGAACGTCATGCCGTTCGGGCTGTGCAATGCGCCCGCCACCTTTGAGCGCATGATGGATACTCTTCTGCGTGATCTGAAATGGCACACGTGCCTGTGCTACCTCGATGACGTCGTCGTTTTCGCTCCGGACTTCTCGACGCATCTTCAACCCCTACAGCATGTTTTAACGCGTCTGAGTGACGCCAGTCTGCAACTGAACCTAAAGAAGTGCCGATTTGCAGCTCGGCAGCTGACAATACTCGGCTACGTCGTATCCAAGGACGGAATTCTCCCTGATCCAGCTAAGCTTCGGGCCGTGGCCGAGTTCCCCAAGCCGACATCCGTCAAGGAACTGCGCAGTTTCGTAGGGCTGTGTTCCTACTTTCGGCGCTTCATTCGAAACTTCGCGACCATCATATCGCCGCTGACGAAGCTCCTCGGAAGTAACGGGCCTTTCCATTCGTGGTCATCACAGTGCGACGACGCTTTCACAACGCTCCGTCGTTTGTTGACGTCGCCTCCCATACTCCGCCACTACGAGCCTACGGCCCCTACAGAGGTACACACGGATGCCAGTGGTGTCGGCCTTGGCGCTGTCCTTGCACAGCGCAAACCAGGGTTCCCGGAATATGTCGTGGCGTATGCAAGCCGTACGCTTACTAAGGCCGAGACTAATTACACCGTCACCGAGAAGGAATGTTTGGCAATCGTATGGGCCACTTCCACTAACATCGGCTGGTAACCGCTGGGCCATTGTCGCTGTGGACCACCTCCTGCGATACGCCAAAACGGCCGCTCTCCCCGCGGTCTCTAGCGAGCGATGTGGCCTCCTTTCTGCTCCACCAATTCATTTTGCAACACGGTTCACCTCAGGAACTGCTCAGTGACCGAGGCCGCGTCTTCCTTTCTGAAGTTGTTGAAGCCATTCTTAAAGAGTGCAACGTTGTTCGCTGCAAAACTGCTGCTTACCACCCGCAGACGAATGGCCTCACCGAACGCTTCAACCGTATGCTCGGCGACATGCTCTCCAAGTATGTCGCCGCCGATCACACAAATTGGGATTCCATTCTACCCTTCGTCACCTACGCATATAATACCGCCCCTCAGAGCACCACTGGCTTTTCACCTTTGTTTTTATTATATGGAAGGCACCCGTCGCACACCATCGACACGATACTTCCGTACAAGCCAGATCTGTCTGAGTGGGCGCCTATTTCTGCTACAGCCAAGCTTGCTGAAGAATGTCGAGAGCTTGCAAAGACCTTTACTGCGCACGATTAAGAGCGGCAAAAAAGCATTCGCGCTGACGCCAGCACTACTGCGCCCACGTTCCTTCCTGGAGCGCTCGTCTGGCTCTCGATCCCTACCACTGCAACTGGCCTATCTTCAGAACTATTGCCCAGATACGAAGGCCCCTACCGTGTCGTCAAATGCACTGCCCCTGTAAACTACTCGATTGAACCAATCGAACCATCTTCGGACATGCGCCGTAGAGGACGCGACATTGTTAACGTGGAGCGCCTCAAGGCCTACCATGACCCGCTCATTGT